ATATATATATATATATATATATATATATATATACATACAGAGAGAGAGATTTAAAGGGATAGTTCACCCAAAAATGAAAATTTGCTGTTAATTTACTCACCCTCATGTTATTCAAGGTGTAGTTGACTTTTTTCTTTAGTACATTAAAGAAGATTTTTAGTTGAAACCGTGGTCCATGGTGATTCATAAAATGCAAGTTAACGGCTACAAGCATTTTGAGAGTCAAAAAAGCAGCACAAGCAATACAAAACCAATGCCCATGGCTCCTGACAATATATTGAGGTCTTATGAAAATAAATTATTGGTCTGCAAGAAAGTGAACATTATTTACATTAACATTATATCGTCAGGAGCCACTGGTATTAATTGTGTGTTGCTTTTTTGACTCTCAAAGTGACGGTAGCCGCTGACTTGCATTTTATAACCATGGTTTAAGCTAAAAATCTTCTCTACTGTTCTTCTGAGGAAGAAAGTCACCTACACCTTGGATGGCCCGAGGGTGAGCAAATTAACAGCCAATTTTCATTTTTGGGCAAACTATTCCTTTAAGATAAATAAGCTTTAAAGTGATGGCTAAAAACCTTAGACTACATTGGAAATCTGGGATTTAAAATTTCATTTAAACCTGGAAAAATTTAGACATGGGGATTTCGGGGGATTTAAAAAAATAAAAATAAAACATTTAATATTAAGATTTTTCTCTAATTCTGGGTCACTAAAATATATTATAAAGTCCCAAGTAGAAGCAGTCAGACTTTTTCTGTCTTTTGTAGCTCACTGTGTTGAAGTGAGGTTCAGTTGTATACACTGATGCTGTATATTCAGGGATTATATTGCGGTGGACTGAGTGGAAGTGTTTGTGTTTCAGGGTTCAGCCAGAGGTGAAATGGAAACTGTCAAGTGCAGAGACGTACTCTAAGATGCGTCTGAAGCTGGTGCCAAATTACAGCTTTGATTCCCACAGTGATGCCAGTGCACTGAGAGATAACATGGGTTAGTATCAATGTGGAGAATGCCTCTGTAATCTGTTAAATGAATATTAATGAATTAATGATATTAAAAGAAAATCAATGGTTAATAATAGATCTGTTGGTAAAATCATTTTGCTTTGACTTGATATTTTCAAATAATCTCTGTCCTCTTGAACTCTCTGTCATTTCAGTGTTAATGTTTATATGTTGGAATGTTTTGGGTGTGTTTTCTGCAGGAGCCGACAGTCCCCGCAGCTCAACCGAGCCCATCCCTCTTGCAGTTGCCAAGGAAGCTAAAGTTAGTGACATGGAGGATGACAAACTAGAGGATGAGGATATTGCCTTCATTGATGAGTGAGTGTCCTAATGTAACTCTGAGCACTCATTTGCTTGGTTAAGTAAGTTATCTAAACCAAGAGATTTCAAACTTGTAAAATAAAAAGATATATAAAGACAATAAATATATGCTCAAAATATAAAGGCATATTTTCATGCATTTAAAACTATGTTAATAAAATAGATTAGCAAAAGAATAAAGTAGTTATGATTATATATTAATATAATTAATATCTACAGTAGGGATGTAATGATGCACCCCGAGCCACTGAAAATCTATAAAAATATGTGACGATTTAAGTCAGTTGAGATGTTAAATGAATCGCGATGTAGTTGGGGGTGGGAGTTTATATGAACATATCTCTGAGGGGAACTGCTGACTGTCTTTAGAAAAGTTTAGACTGTGTTTTCTTTTCATCTTGCCTCTGTGTAACCAAGGAAACGCTGTATCGCTGCTGTTCCATAAGCATAACCTGCTGTCAGAGAGTGAATCTGTGTTCTCATTCAGCCGGTCTGCTGTTTTCGTTATAGTTTCACAAAGCTAACATCAGACTTTTCTGTTTTTGCTTCAAATGTCGAAATTATACAATCTAATTTAAATCAAAAACTGCTCATGCTGCATGTATGCAGCATCTCTGGATCGTGATTAAAATGCTGTGTTCGCCTCTAATATTAAATGGAAAGAGCACAGGCAAAGACTTTTTTTATGTGAAGAGGTTTTATTTGTATTTTGTTGTTTATTTGATTTTGGATTTGTTTTAAAATTTCAATTTGGTTTTGTTATGTGACACATTTCAATTTCACAAAGAAATGTGGGGCATTTTTTCGGAGAAATAATAAAAGGACACCTTTTCATTTATAATTTGTCTTAAATCTCAGTTTGTTAAAAAATCGTGAGAAAAAAACAATTGTTACATCCCTAATCTACAGTTTAATTAATAGCCCTAAAATAGATATTATGTAAAACCATTATTTGCCTCAAATATTCCTTGAGTGGCTTGTTACTTTTACAAACATCAACAACAGCAATATGATACCTAATTGAAAACAAAAAAAAGTTTATATATAATAATAATAATGAGAATAAACAATTCTTCCAACAAATAATAAGCACATTCACTTAATATGTATTTTTTCTGCAGTTTATGATGGCTTCAAATGTAGCTCATCCTTTTTCAAAATCTGAACTAGGTTGTTCTGAATATCAGCACGGCCCAGTAAGTTTAATAAACAAGAAGTTAATATTGAGGAACTTACCAGTGTTATTTTAGTATTATTTATATAAAGTTACAGTATTTATTGATATTTTGAATTAGATCTATTTTCATATGTTCAGTTTTCATTTTATTTTTACTTTAAGTTTTAGTAATTTTGTTGCATGCTTTTGTCATGTTTATTATTTTATTTGTAATATTTCTGTTTAGTTTTAATTCAGTAGTAATTTTTATACATCAACTTATTTCAGTTAGTTGCCAAAGCAACATTTCTCATTTTTGTTTGTTTTTCTCATTCAAGTTTTTCATGAAATATTTGTAGTTTATTTAATTTCAGCTTTATTTCAATTACCAAACACATTTTTTAATAGTTTTAGTTAACAAAAGTCTGTTTAGTCTGTTTATTCATACTGAAAATAGTTCCTCAATGAAGTCAAAGCAGAATCATCTGTTACAGGTTCCAGGCAGCGCACAGTAGTGGTGTTTTTGTCCCTGAATCAGTGTTTTTGAATGAATCATTTGACTGAAGATTCAGCCTTTTTGATACATGCAAAGGCTTTGTGTGTACAGCTTTTGAGATGGGTTTAGTGTGATCGAGTGTGTGTCTGTGTGTGTGTGTCATTCCTCAGGGTGGAGGAGGGCGAGGAGGAGAGCCAAAAAGAAAAGCTGGTGCTCTCAGAGGAGTGTGAGCTCATCACTATTGTTGCCGTGGTACCAGGTCGTCTGGAGGTCACAACGCACCACCTGTACTTCTACGATGGCAGTAGTGAGAAAGAGGAGACCGAGGAAGGTGAGTAACAGCTTGTATTGCGAAGTATATCCCATCATAGCGCCCAACCCATTTTGTTTGTCTCTCTAATAAGACTCCATTCATTGTTCACATAATGACACTACCGGTCAAAAGTTTGAAATAATATATATATTTTTTTTATGTTTTATGAAAGAAGTCTCTTATGCTCACCAAGGCTGCATTTATTCAATCACAAATACAGTAAAAAAAAAAAAAAAAAGTATTATTGTGTAATTAAAATAACTATTTTTATTTTAATGCATTTTAAAATATAATTTATTACTGTTGATAGCAAAGCTGAATTTTTTGCAGCCGTCTTCATATAAGGATCATGTGACACTGACAACTGGTTTAATGGCTGCTAAAAATTCAGATTTGCCATAACAGGAATAAATTACATTTCGAAATATAGTAAAATAGAAAACTTTCTTTTAAATTGTAATAATATTTTACAATATTTCCATCAAATAATTGCAGTCTTGGTGAGCATAAGTGACTTCTTTCAAAAACATTAACAAAATCGTAATTATTCCAGATTTTTGACTGGTAGTGTATAGGATAAGAAATGATTCATGATTATAATGCGAATGCTCTGGACTGCCCATCTTTGTAGGCATTGGTTTTGATTTCAAGAGGTCATTGTCACAGCTAAGGGAAGTCCACCTGAGGCGCTACAACCTGCGGAGATCAGCACTAGAGCTGTTCTTCATCGACCAGGCACACTACTTCATCAACTTCAGGAAGGGGGTGAGCTGGACACATAATAACTGTCGCACTGCAGGAGAAGCTACAATGGAAAAGATGGCCACAAGCATCAGTGGCATTTGAGGTCTCTGTGTTTTTATATTTGTTTGGGTTCTCCCACAGGTGCGGAACAAAGTCTACTCCAGGATCCTGGGTCTCAGACCACCCAATCTGTTCTATTTTGGTTCTCGCTCTCCTCAGGAGCTCCTAAAAGCCTCCAACCTGACTCACGTATGTCTGATGCGATGCCAATATTTTCCATTTTTGCTGGTGGCTGGTTGGACTCTTTCCTCCCTTTTCCCCCATAGTTTCCTATGCCTTTCTATACTGTATCTGCCCATAAAAGCTGTCAAAAAACCCTACCCCCTCCCTCAAATTTTCTAAATATAACTATTCTTTATATTCATTTTTGTTCCTATTGCAGAGATGGGTTTGCAGAGAAATCTCCAATTTTGAATATCTGATGCAGCTCAACACCATTGCTGGTCGCACATACAATGATTTATCCCAGTATCCAGTGGTGAGTTCTCACAGAGCTAGCGTTGTTTTGACATTTTTTTGTTTTGTTTTTGTTTGGTTTGTCGTGTTTTGTGTTTTGTTTTTGTTTGGTTTGTCATGTTTTGTGTTTTGTTTTTGTTTGGTTTGTTATGTTTTGTGTTTTGTTTAGTTTAGTTTTCTTTAAATTTTTATTTTTTTTTTTCAAACCGCTTGTCATATGCAGTGTCGTGGGGATGCTATGGCCTACCCAGAATTTGAATTTAATTTGTTTTATTTTATTGAATTTTAATTTATTTTATTTTATTTTTTAGTTTCGTTTTTCAGTCTTTGATTTCATTTAAAAAAAAATTTATATTTATTTTAGTAAACCAAGATTTCATTGAATGCATTTAATATCCATTTTGCTGAAAAAAAAATGCAAATGTGCATGACTGACACTTTTGGTGTTGGTGAATAGTGTATGGGTCACATATGTTCTCATTTCTTCATGTGCATGTCTGTATTCTCAGTTCCCCTGGGTGTTGTGTGACTACACATCTGCTAAATTGGATCTGGAGGACCCAGCTGTTTTCAGAGATTTGTCCAAACCCATTGGTGTCGTCAACCCTCGACATGCACAGAACGTCAGGGAAAAGTGAGACAGTGTTGCAGTCCTAATTGCAGAATTCCCGGTATCAAAGAATGTGTAACAAAACTAGAAAAATGGATAACAATACCACAAGCCGATATCTACATGATATTGATAAATATATTCAAATTTGTAAATAATAACAGATTGTTCTATAATAATATAAAGCAGAGTAATGTAGAATCTTTTGAGCATTTCATCTGATTTTCTAAATGTCTTCTTGTTGTCGTTTGATTAGGTATGAGAGTTTTGAGGACCCAACAGGCACTATCGATAAGTTCCACTATGGCACACACTACTCTAATGCTGCAGGCGTCATGCACTACATGATCCGCACAGAGCCCTTCACCTCATTACATATACAGCTCCAGAGCGGCAAGTAAGACACACATACTCGCACACCACAGCTAAAGCCAGGGGTGTCCAATCTTGCTCCTGGAGGGCCACCTTTAACTCAAACACACCTGAACCAGCTATTCAAGGTCTTCAGGATTACTAGAAACTTACAGGAAGGTGTGTTGGGGCAGGTTAGAGCTAAACTCTGCAGGATGTTAACCCTTCAAGAGCAGGATTGAACACCCCTGCTCAAGGGCGTGTGCTGAATCCTGCTTTCGGACACATTTGTATTTTAGGATTTCTTTTGTACTACTGGATACTTTTGTACACAAAAGGTGTGCTTGTTTATTCATTCCAAGGGTACCTGAGGCACAAATGGAAATTTGACTCTAAAATCTTTATAAAGTCATTAAATAAAATGCCTTCTAACTGATAGTTGAAGTTAGTTGAATGGTTTTAATACTCCAAAAATATAACACTAAGTATCCATACAGGAACGTGGATCGCCACAATCAAAATGTGAATATATTAATAATATTTTAATTTGGCACCCCTTAGCATTAACCACTAGGTTGCAGTGGTGTTTTCCTGATGGTTAAGTAATCATGTACATTGTCCTATGTTTGGGCTGCACTTATAAGTGTGATTGTGTGTGTGTTTAGGTTTGATTGTGCCGATAGACAGTTTCATTCAGTAGCAGCAGCGTGGCAGGCACGGATGGAGAGTCCAGCTGATGTCAAGGAGCTCATCCCAGAGTTCTTCTACTTCCCAGAGTTCCTGCAGAACATGAACGGTCAGTGTGTCTCTCTGTAACTTCTCAGTGATGAAAACCACACTGGCACTGCAATTTGTTCAATGGATTTTGAATTGTAATATGTCGTGTGCAGGTTTTGATCTGGGCTGCTTGCAAATAAGTCAAGAGAAGGTCAATGATGTGTTACTTCCTCCTTGGGCGTCTTCGCCTGAAGACTTCGTCAGGAAACACCGCAAAGCTTTGGTGTGGAAACAGATACAATGCACTGATTTCAAAACATAGATACTAAACACAACAACACATTTTTTTTGTAAATATGTTTTGTAAAATACAGAATACTCTTAAAATACTATTTACTAACCATCTTATAAATCGAGTGGGTGAGTCAGATGTTTCAGTAACTGCTCCGGCAAATTCAAGTGATTTGTTAGTTTGATTCAAACTTCTTTTTGAGTTATTTGTGGAAGGAGTAGTTCACCCAAAAATTACATTTTGCTGAAAATGTACTCGTCCTCAGGCCATTCAAGAGATAGATGAGTTTATTTCTGCATCAGAAAGTTTTGGAGACATTTAGCATTACATCACTTGCTCACCAATGCAGTGAATGGGTGCCGTCAGAATGAGCGTTCAAACAGCTGATAAAAACAACACTATAATCCACAAGTAATCAACATGACTCAAGTCCATCAGTTAACACCAAGAAGTGAAAAGCTGCATGTTTGTAAGAAAACAAATCAATCAACTCTCTTCACTTGTAAACGGTGTTTTATCTGTGCATATATCTCTCCTGATAAAGCAATATTATGGATAAAGGACTACATGTCTTATTGATCAATTTATTTAATACAATCATACAGCTTTTCACGATGTTAACTGATGGGCTGCAGTCGTGTGGATTACTTGTAGATTATTGTTATGTTTTTATCAGCTGTTTTAAGATCATTTTTGAGTGAACTATTCCTTTAAAATAATCAGCTCATAGAAGTCATTTGCTTGTGAATCAGACAACATTTGTGCTATGTTTTTGGATACAACCAGCAAACAAAACTATTCTAAAATTATTATAATAGACTTTTTATGTCATCACATTCAATTCAGACTGCAGATTAGCAATGGCAATATAAAAAATGCTTTTAAAACACACACTCTTTTGTTCTTTATCTGACACACTCTCCTTGTGTATCTGTGTGTTTAAAGGAGAGTGAGCATGTGTCTGCTCACCTGCACGAGTGGATCGATCTCATATTCGGGTATAAGCAGCGAGGACCTGAAGCGGTGGAGGCTCTCAATGTCTTCTACTACTGCACTTATGAGGGTAAGAGACCTCTTATGAGTTCGTATTAGTTTAAACATGTTCCTGCATGGAAAATATGACTGATCGCTGTGTGTTTTGGCTGTCAGGTGCAGTGGATCTGGACGCCATAGCTAATGAGACCGAGCGCAAGGCCCTGGAAGGCATCATCAGCAACTTTGGCCAGACGCCCTGTCAGCTTCTCAAGGTGGGACATCAGACAGATGTTTCCATCTCTAGTCAGCATAAGCTTCATTTTATATGAGCTTCCAGGTTTTCTTTTTTTTTTTTTTTTTTTTAATACTAGTGCTTGAACTTACTTCATTTATTTGCCATCAGTTGCAAGTTTTTCATCTAATGTTTATTTTATTTCAAAAAGCAGAAATGTTTTTCATATTTTATAGTTTTAGTTAATGATAAAAACCCTGGGTCTGAAGGCATTTGTGTAATATGTGTAATATGGCACAAGTGAAACCTCTGTGTGTAATTCAGGAGCCCCATCCTCCCCGTATGTCAGCAGAGAATGCATTCAGGCGGAATGCCCGTCTGGACATTCTGCCCCCCAACCTTTTTGATCAGCTCAGTAAACTCCGATCTTTTAAGGAGGTGAGCCTGAATTTATTAGTATATTATTTGAGCTGAATAATATGCCGAAATACAACTTTTTGAGCACCGTGTGCTAATGATTTGGTTTATAGAGTTGCTGTGTGAAACTGTGATTTGTGTTGTGATTATTTTTGATGTTGGTTCATGTAGGTGGTGAGCGATGGTCTGCCGTTAGTGCAAGCCGTGGTGCCCAGAAATCAAACCCGCTCCTTCATCATCCCTGGTTCTGACATACTGGTAAGATTATTTCGTGGTTATGTTCACTTGTTGTGTACTAATTTTTGAATAGGATCAGAACCAATCACATAGAGCAGGAGTTTGAGGATCAAGAGGGTCTGTGGAAGAGGGTGTTAGTGCAGTGGTTCTCAACCATGGGGCCAGGGGCCACTAGGGGGCCTCAGCAAACTTGCAAGAGAGCTCTAAGATGACTTAAAATTATGTAAAATAAGACAAAACAAGCATTTTTCTAATGAATATGCATTTTTCTTTTTATGTCAATCTCTCAAATATTTTATGGGGTAGAAATTTTGAGTAAAAAATATTTTAAACATCCTTATGCTGTAAATCTGGCCTTTGAAGCTTGTTGTGGAACGTGGGGGAGGCCTTGGAGTTAAAAAGGTTTGAAGTCACTTTGCTAGAGGGTTTGTGGAAAGTTTGAGAGGGGAATAAAAAAAGGTTTTGTGGCTATTATTTTATATGCTGTTTTTTATTATTTTAAAATAATGCAATACATTTTTTTTTTTTTTTCATTCTTCTTTCAGGAATAATAAGATTATTTTTTTGCAATAACAAACTTTTTTTAAAAGAAGAAATAAAAAATATCTGCATTTAGTCTGAAAAATCTGTATTTTTGTTGTTTCTATGGAGATGTTTTAGCGGTTTACTTCGGATCAACAATCTCGGTAAAATTGCTTTAGAATGATATTTATTGGGAAAGCACTGTACAAATGCATATGAATTAAAAATGTTACTCTCAAGGTTTATACATGAAAGATTACTGTAATAGTTGACTTATAGGGATAGTTCACCCAAAAATGAAAATCCTGTCATCTTTTACTCTCCCTTGTTCCGAAGTTGTTTCAAATCTGTATGAGTTTTTTTCTTCTTGTCGAACACTAAAGAATATATTTTGAAGAATGTGGGTAAAAAAAACAAAAAAAAAACAGTTGATGATCCCCATTGACTTCCATGGTATGGAAAAAAAGTACTATGGAAGTCAGCGGGGCCCATCAACTGTTTTGTTACTCACATTCTTAAAAATATCTTTTGTTTTCAGGAGAAGAAATAAATTCATACGGGTCATATTTTCATCTTTGAGTTAACTATCTATTTAACACAAAAAAAAAAAAGTCCAGATAATATTATAATGATTTGCTTTGTCTTTAGTACAGTGCCAATATAAGAACTCTAAAATTGTTTTATTTAAATATTATAAAAAAATGTTGGCAACAACATTTTGTCTGTCTCACTCAATATTGTTTTCACTCTGCATATATTTTAGGAAGTGGGCCCTTCACAGATCATATTTAAGACTTCCTGACATCAATACGTTTGTTGCAGAACAGATAGCTGCATCCGAATGTGTTTTGAATGGCATTTGTCCTGTTTCAGGTGACAGTGAGTGCTAATGGAATGATAGGCACTCATAGCTGGCTGCCCTACGACAAGAACATAGCTAATTATTTCACCTTCACCAGAGACCCCTCTGTGAGCAACCCAAAGTAAGTTTGAACATGTACACATGTCTAAACACATTATATAATCATGTTCGGAGACTTAGTGATGTCATATAGTTTTAAAGACAAGAGGTTTTGATTAGGCAGAAAGCCTTATTTTTATAGTGACAACATTGGTCTTTGGATAAATAATCAAACGCAGCTTATAAACAGCAGCTCTTTGACATTAAGCTCTGGTGGTTTGGCTTCTTTGGTCTCTATAAATGTTCTTCAGTCCAATTGAGTCCTTTGTTGTAAAAGCTAATTTGTTTTGCCAAGCCTTTCTTGTTATTTTTGAGTGGTTTGCTAACATGTGTCGAATCTGATGCTTAAACAGAACATTGGTCTATTTTGAATGCTCTCCCACTGACATGTTTAGTCCCATTTGTTGGTACTAACCTTTTGTCTGATCTGTTTTTAGGACCCAGCGGTTCCTCAGCGGGCCGTTCTCCCCAGGGGTGGAAATCGGGTCCCAGGTGCTGGTGGTGTCCACTGACGGGCGTCTGCTGTTCAGCGGGGGGCACTGGGATTGCAGCATTCGAGTCACTATGTTAGGCAAGGCCAAGCTGGTGGGCAGGATCTGCCGTCACATAGGTGAGAGCCGTCTGTCCGACGCAGACGTACTGAAATAATACAGAGCCAAGGCGCAGCTGTAGGCGTTGGAATGAGCTTGACGGAGTTGTTGAGCTGAATCCTAAATGAAATGAGCTGCTGTCAGATTTGGCAGAGATGTTTGTTGAATCATTTGTTGCTGAAACAGAAGCATTAACCCTGTAAAGCCTGAAATAGGACAAAATGTAAAAAAAAACAAAAAACAGTTTGCTTGTGTTTTTGATGATTGTAATATTTGATACATCAGGCATTTATGGCTCATATAATATGAGGCCCAAACTGGTAGCTTGTAATATAAATCAGTAAGATCGTTATAAATAGTATAGCAGGCTACTTACATAAATGCATTTAAAATCAGCTGTCACTCTATATCTCCCAATAATATGTCTTAAGATGATCTATAAAAATGCTTCGGTTTATGATCAAAGCTCTGTAGTTTTTATTGTGGGGGATAAAAAGCAATTACAATACCATGATGATTGAGAGATGTACAAATAAACATTCCTCAAAATCCTGATAGATCATATTTGATATTCACATTTTAACATGATTTTTCTAAAAAAAGAAAAAAGAAATGATGTATGGATAATCAAGTAAACCTAAGTTTGATCAGTCCAGTTACTAACAATGTAAAGTTATGAAAAAAAAGAAAAGAAAACATGAAACATTAACCTGAAGGTGGACATTTTTAGAATTATACTAAAAGGCCTTTTACTTGCTAAAAAGTATAAAGTGCAGAAGGCATGTAGTAGATTGTGTGCATCAGGTGCATTGCTGATTATATAATGCATTTGATTATGTATGGTGCACATTGCTGATTATATAATGCATTTGATTATGTATGGTGCACATTGCTGATTATATAATGCATTTGATTATGTATGGTGCACATTGCTGATTATATAATGCATTTGATTATGAATAAATGTTATGATGCATTTTTGTGGGATGTAGATGTGGTCACGTGCCTGGCTCTGGATCTCTGTGGTATCTACCTCATCTCTGGCTCACGAGACACCACCTGCATGGTGTGGCAGGTCCTACAGCAGGTTTGCTCACACAAAATACTTATAATTAGATACCAAGTTAATACAAAAATAAAAGGGTGTGAAGGGTACATCTGCGCCCATGAGCAGTCATTTAATTTTAACTGAACGTACACTACTATCATTCAAAAGTTTGGGGTCAGTAAGATTTGTTTTTAAGATGTTAATACTTTTATTAAGCAACGACACATTACTTTGATCAAAAGTGACAGTAAAGCAGCAAATCAGCATATTAGAATGCTTTCTGGAGGATCATGTGACACTGAAGACTGGAGTAATGGCTGTTGAAAAGTCAGCTTTGCCATCACAGGAATAAATGGCATTTTTAAATATTTAAAACATAGAAAGTTGTAGAAAACAGAAATAGAAAGGTTATTTTAAATTGTAGTAATATTTCACAAGAGTGCTGTTTTTACTGTATTTTTTATCAAATCCATACAGCCTTGTTGAGCAGAGACTTTTAAAAAATAATTAAAAAAAAATATTGCACAGACCCCAGCATTTTGAATGGTAGTGTAAATAGCCAGGAAAAGAGGTCTGATGTGTCAAAATATCAAATTTGTGCTTTAGACCTAAATATATCTTTTATATTTAGTGTGTAATATCAGGATGTTTTCTTGAATTATGTGCTTTTATGTGTTAAGTGTTTTGTGAATTATGTGTTTTTTATTTGCTTGAATAATAACTTGAAGCGTTATTTACCTGAATTAGAGAAAAAATAGTCAGCATGGTTATGTAGTATAACTAGTGACTGAATCAGAGTATGTTGTCTTTTTTTTTTTTTTTTACCTGTAGGGTGGTTTCTCTAGCGGTCTGTCTCCACGGCCCGTGCAGGTGCTCTGTGGACATGATCAAGAGGTCACGTGTGTCGCCATCAGCACTGAGTTGGACATGGCAATCTCAGGGTCAAAGGTCAGTTTAGATGAGACCACTTCTTAAAAGTCCCTTCAGAAGTTACTGCATTGCCATTAGGGCTCATGAGTTTTCTCTCACATGCTCTCTTTTTCTTTTGCTCAGGATGGCACAGTGATCATGCACAGTGTGCGTCGTGGACAGTACCTGCTTACCCTGAGACCGCCGTGTGAGAGCTGCCTTCCTGCCCCTGTGGCACAGCTGGAGGTCGGAATAGAAGGGCACATAGTGGCACAGACTGTTATGGAGGGCCGCTCTGCTGGAAAGGTGCTGATAGACAATGTTTGTCAAAAGAAACAAGTCTTTTTGAGTTATTGTGAGAATGGAAATTAACACATGGTTTTGTGGCTGTAGGAGAAGTACGCACTGCATGTGTATTCTGTGAATGGCACTCTCTTAGCATCTGAGACGTTGGACGAGAAGATTTCAGCTTTGCATCTGGTGCCTGACTACCTCATCGTGGGCACACAACAGGGGAACCTTCACATTCGAGAGTTGTACAGGTATGGTCGTTTTAAATGTACTGTACACCTTGTTTAAAGGGGTCATATGATGCGATTTCAAGTTTTCCTTTCTCTTTGGAGTGTTACAAGCTGTTCGTG